CAATGTAATCTTGTACACCTCGACGCCTCCTCTCCCTACGATCTCTCGTATTAGGTGAAATTTGAGCTCTATGTGTTTACTGACTTTGTGGGCTTGTGGTTCCTTTGAGTTTGATATTGCTCCACTGTTATCACAATAAAATGTGACAACACGTGGTAAACTCGAAATCACTTCTAAGTCCACCAAAAAGTTTCTCAGTCATACTGCCTGTTTCAAAAGCTAAGTCATATTCGACTTCCATGGTGGAATCTGCAACACATTTCTATTTGGCACTAGCTCTTATAGGAAATAGCTCCACCTCCCTGTGTAAACACATAACCTGAGGTAGATAATTAGAGGTAGATAATTAGGTTTCCGTTTGGGTTTAGTAGTCTCAACTCAAGGCTTGCTATTTTCTATTTATAATTGGGCTAAAGAATGGCCCAACGTACATATATTGAGGTTGCTATTTGGTAAAATAGACAAATTGTCAATGCTTTAGCAGGAAGAGATAAATAATTTTAGATCGTGAAACTCTTAAAACGATTAAAAAAAATTAATGTCTAGTTTTTTAAAATAAATTGATAGCTATATGAATGAGTAGAAATGCTCCCTATCGGTGGGCACATGTTAATATGTCCACCGCGTAGGTGACATCCACTCATTGGTGATGTTAATATATTTAAAAAAATACATCACCAATGAGTGCATGTCATCTACGTGGGAGGCACATATTTGCTCTTTAAAACACTCTTCTACATGGGAGTAGAAATGCCTTCTTTTATCAATTTTTAATTCCAACGGCATTCATGACTTAAAACACTCTAGCGACTCATACTTCAAACTAAAATTCTTACTTTTTGACCAATTTTTACTGTTGTACATAACCTAATCATTCTGTCTTTGCAAACATATATGATAGATTAAGAAAATCAATAACACATTAATACAGTGGTGAAACGTATATTTTTAACTCGAGTGCGCAAAACGATGTAAGAACGTGGTAAACAATCGTAAATAGCGGAAGCAATAAACCGAAGATGTAAAAACTCTTAAGGGAAGCGTCCCACTTCCCCTCAGAGCTCTTTCATTGATAAACCATTCACACTTGTATAGTTTGGACTTACACGACTCGAACTCCCTTCTAGTCTAGCCACAACTACACACGATCCTATCAATTACTTCTCCAGCCACGTCCCGTGGACTTCTAACTCTCGAATCCCTCGAGCTAACCACTGTACTTAATCCCTAAGTACTGATCACAAAAGTGTTTGAATGAAATAAAAAGAAACAAACTAAACAGCTTCAGTTCTTGGATACGTAAGAACCTTGAACTGAACTGTGAACAAAATAAAACCAAAAAAGGCTTGAAGCTCGAATATTGAATGAAAGATAATTATCTCAGCCGCATATCTT